AGGAGCCTGTGCTGTAGGAAGCCCTTCAAGTGATGCTGAGAATGTGTCAGCGGTAGAACCCATGCTTCCAGTCATGAAGGTGGGCTGGGAGACCCCGAACATGAGTGACAGGGACCCAGGAGACAGAAGCATCCCAGAAGTCACGTGAGGGAGAATGTAGCGTTGGCCTTGGCCCAGGGTCAGGCGGTGCTGGCTGATAAGACCTAAAGATTGCCAGGTTGTCACTGGGAACCGTAACTAGGACATTTTCAGCAGATATTAGAGGCAAAGAGCCTTGACTTGGATTCAATTTAAAAGGGAGTAGAGTGGGAGGAATACATTTGAGACAGTAAATATATAGACTCAGTTTTCAGAGCATTTTGTGGCAAAGGGAAGCCAAGAAGGGCGATTGTGAATTGAGATTTTAGTCATTTGGAGCTGTGTGTGTGTTCTCCTGTTTTTTTATTTTGCTTTTTTTGTTTCTTTGTTTTTTAGATTTTATTTATGTGTATTTGCGTGTATGTGCTATGCACGTGTGTGCAGGTGCCCATGGAGGCCAGAAGAGGGAGTCAGAGGCAGATGGGTCTGTTATGAGTTCAAGGCCTGGTCTATACAGAGAGACTGAGGTTAGCCAGGGTGACATAGTAGAGCCCTGTCTCAGAAAGGGGACAGGGACCAGGAATGCCGCTCCATTGGTAGAGTTACTGCTTAGTGTCCACAGCCCTTGTGTTCAGTCAGCACAAACCAGGCGTTGTGGTGCACATCTCTAATTCCAGCAGTATGGAGGGACAGGTGGGCTGATCACAAGCTGATCCTCCGCTTCATGGCGACTTAGAAGCTGGTACAGGAAAGGGGGAGAGTGATTTAAAAGCAGGCCGCACCACGCTTGCCCGTGCACACATCCTCCGTCCCCAGGGTCAGGAAACGGCCATCAGAGCTTCGCAGCGCTCCTTGGGAACTATGTCTCCAGCAGAGTGCCAAGTCCACAAATAGAGTATTTGCTCGTGGAAACATTTGCTGGTAATCGGGAGCTTTATTATCATGCCATGAGCATCACACATCGCACACAACAGTTGTATCAGGAGCACAGTGGCACTTTGTGGAAGTAGGGGAAAGGTGAAAGATAGGAACAGACCAAGGGTTACACCGAGCTTTATTGTGCTCGGAGTGCAGGAAACTACTCATGACCCTGGAGTCTGGGGAAGGGGTTATAGCAACCGCATGAAAAGTTACAAAGAGCAGACTGAAACGTGGGTGGTGAGATCGTGTATTGACCAGGTGGTAAAGTCAGGAAGATTGGTGTTCAAGGCCATCCTCAATCACATAGTACATTCCAGCTAGCCTGGGCTGCATGAGACCCCATTTCAAAAAGACAGAACACTCAAACAGAACAACAGGTTAGCCCTGTTATTTTCAAATTAGTAAGTGGGAGTGTATTAGTTACCTTTCTGCTGCTATGACAAATGACCTGACGATGCATCTTAGGGAGGAGGGGGCTCAGACAGGTGGTGACATGGCATCCACAGTCAGGGAGCAGCAAACGGATGGTGCTGCTGGGCTGGCTTCCTCCTTTTTATCCAGTCCAGGGTATCCAAGGGATGGCGCCACTAATGGTTAGCATGGGCCTCCCCACCTCAGTTAACTAATCCAGGAGGGGGCTTGTTAGGGAGAACAGAACGGGATAAAGTAGGGCATTGAAGGGGACACAAAGTACAGTGTGTGTGTGCGCGCGTGCGTGCGCGCGTGAGTGCGTGCGGGTGTGTGTATGTGTGTGCGCGCGTGCGCACACAGCACCCTAGAAGCAGACTTGTGGGACTTCATTCTCTACTTTTGCCTTGTGGGTCTTGGGGATCAAATTCAGGCCTTGAGATTTGGTGGCAAACTGGCCAGGCCATCCCACCTTGCTCTGGTAGACCAGACTGGCCTCAAGCTTGCTCTGTAGCCAAAATTAGCCATGAATTCCGAATCCTCCTGCTTCTGCTTCCTGACAAATACATGTTATTTTTTTTAAAGGATTTATTTATGAATGCCTACATGCCAGAAGAGGGCACCACAGATGGGTGTGAACCACCATGTGGTTGCTGGGAATTGAACTTCGGACCTCTGGAAGAGCAGTTAGTGCTCTTAAGCTCTGAGTCATCTCTCCAGCCCCTGACCAATACACTTTAACTTTTTATTTTGTAATGACTTTTGAAGGGGACTCGCCCACAGCGGGAACTCCCTTCTAAACCCCGGATTAGGCACAAACACCTGTTTTCACAGAGGGATCCTTTACTAAGTGGGGAAGAAAAGTTAAAGTGGCTGCTTCTCTGTCAGGTTCATAGCCCAGCACCCACACGGCAGGGCAGCTCACACTGTCTTTAATTCAGTTCCCAGGAGCCAGCATGCTCTTCTAGCCTCCTCAGCCACTAGGCCCACACGTGGCTCACAGACAAAGCACTCATATCATATCATTAAATAAATAGTTAGGAAGCTCAAGGCCGATCTTAGCTACAAAGCGCCTAAGTCAAGCATGGGAACTGTGGAGCCCGGTTCTTATTAAAAAATAAAAACGTAGAAAAGAGGGATTTGAACTGACCTCATAGGGAATCCTAGATTCCAGGCCGCTCCTGGGGAAGAAATGCATACGGCCAGAGCTGGCTGGCCATGACCTCTTACCCTCCCCTCCAGCAATTTCCCTTCTGTTTGATGTCCGTGAACATCACCCGAATTGCCATCCAGGCCCTGAGAGAAGAATGCCTCTCCAGGTGAGTGTCCCCATCCACGCCACATCCTCCACAGCTCTGTCACCTGCCCGCTCTCCCATCTGGATGATCCCCGTGCTCCAGCCACCTCGCCTCCCAAACCTGCCCCAGGCCGCCTGGGGAGCCGTGGGTGGGGTGACCTGACTGGGTAGGTTGGGAAGGAGGGCACTGGTGTGTCAGGTTCGGGGTCTGTGGCTAAGCAGGTCACCTCTCTTGTCCTGTAGGGAATGTAACCGGAGGCAGAAGGTCATCCCAGTGGTGAACAGCTTCTATGCAGCCACGTTCCTTCACCTGGCACGTGTGTGGAGGACCCAGCAGAGGACTATCTCAGACTCAGGCTTTGTCCTCAAAGGTGGACCCTTCCTCCCCTCCTCCCCTCCCCCCTCCCCTCTCAGGCTCTCCCTGGCTCTCAGAGCCCCCTGGGGCCTGCTGTTTCTCTTTTCTCTGCCACCACACCCCTCACTTTGGGCCCATACCCTTCTGTTTCCTTGCTGTTTGTTTGTTTGTTTGTCAAAGCAGGGTCTGGCTATAAGGCCCTGGCTGGCCTGGAACTACATTCACTGTGTAGAGCAGAATGGCCGTGAATTTATGGCAGTCCATCTACTTCTGCTTCCTAAATACAAAGATTACAGCGTGGTCTTCAGAGCGAGTTCCAGGGCAATGGTCCTGGGCACAGAGAGACCCTGTGTGTGTGTGGGGGGGATTACAGGTGTGCACAGCGGGCTCTGGCCGTACATGTGTGATGATTGCTTGTTATTGTTATTCTTGTTTAGATTTTTGAGATAGTCTCACACTGTAGCCAGGCTACAATCCCCCTGCCTCGATTCCCCTGAGTCAGGATTGCAGTTTTGAGCATTCGTGGTTCTTGATGATCACATCAAACAACCCACATCTTCTGAACTGAACATCTAAAGTTCAGTAGACACAGTGCAGGCAGATCTCTGTGAGTTCAAGGCCAGCCTGGTCTGCATGTGAGCTTCAGGCCCACCATGGCTACATAGTAAGACCCAGTGTCATGAACAACGAAACAGGACTGACCAGATGGGCGGTTGGTTCAGATGGCCTACTGCTCTCCCAGAGTCTGCCTGTAACTCTGGTCCAGAGAGATCCTGTTCCCTAACCTCTGCAGACCCTCACGCTCACATGCACACATCCACACACGCATGGACCCACCCGCAGACTTACATAGTCCTTTAAAAAGCGAGTAAGTCTCGAAAAGATGCGTCCGTCAGAGTGGGCCGGGAACGTGGTACCACTGTTAGAGCACCAGCCTGGCATGCATGAGCCCTGGGCTCAGTCCCCGGTGCTCCATCAGCCGCTCCGCATGGTGGGGCAAGCCTGTAATCTGGGCACTTAATAGGGGGAGACAGGAAGATTGAAGTTCAAGGTCTACAGGAGACGTGTCTCAGACAGAACAAGACAGAAAGGCGAGAGCCGGGGCTAGGGAGGCGGCTCAGCCGTTCAGAGCGCTGGCTGCTCTTCCAGAGCGCTGGGCTGGCTTCTGACCCAGCACCCACGGCGGCTCGCAGCCATGTATGACTTCAGTTCCAGAGGATCTGGTACCCTCTTCCGATGTGCTCAGGCGTCAAGCATACATGTGGTACATAGACATACATTTGAGCAAACCCTCATACATATAAAATAAAATAAAAATGTTAAAAATTAAAGAACACAAATCCGGTTCTGCGGATTTGAGGTATGTGTCGCAGGGAAGGAGTGGCCCCTGGGCTCTGTGCCTGTTTTTACTCTTGTCTCTAAATGTCAAGGGTTGAAGGTGTTCACAGAGCCGTTGGACTCGAGGCCTCGTGCCCCTCAGGGTCCCTAAGCCTTCAGTTCCCTGATCTCCTCTGTTCCAGACTTGGAAGTGTTGGCCAAGAAGAGCCCAAAACGTCTGCTCAGGACTCTGGACGTCTACCTAGCCCAGGTGTCAAAGGGACAGGCCTCCTTGTTGGGGACACAGAAATGCTCTGGGTCTCAAGGGCCTTACTCCAAGGACCTCACCTTCACGGGCGTGTGTGACCCACAGCCTCACTCATTCGAGAGCACAGGGTTGATCTGACCCATCACGGACCGTTCCTAGAAAAGCAAGCTGGCTGGCTGGAGCTCTCGGAACCGCCGACCCCTCCCTGCCTCTGCAGGTGAGGTTGGAAGCTCCCACTTCTGAGAAGTCTGTGTCTGTACCAGCATAGCACATCCAAGCAGCTAGAATTCACCTCCTTGCCTCTTTTGAAGCAAGGAGAGCCTCCTGTTGTTCCCAGCTGGGCTCCAGTTCACAGGGCTGGGCTCCCGATATCTCAGTGGAAGTGAACAGACCATAAGGTAGGACAGCAGTCTACACATCCGCGCCTAGAGAGTTCCTGGAAGCTGCAGCTCCTGACTCCCCAACTGCTGTCCCCAGTGTCCAGAGGCAACAATATCTTCAGCCAGCAGGGGGCAGCATAACACAGGGAAAAGTGACTGATAGGCAGGCTCCTCCCTTCAGCCACCAGGATTTTCAGGACACTGGTTCCTGCCCTCCTCCTCTCCCCCTACCTCCTTTGCCCACCATTGTTTGTGATCTGGAAATGGGCACTCACTAACTGCTAACTAGATTAGCTAGCCATGGCGGTGCTGGATCCACACCGCCCACAGGCTGGGGCTCCTGTGGAGACCACACCCTCTTCCTGAGGGGCGATAGGAACTGCTCACCCACCAGCCGTTTTAGAATAAAGGAATTGTTGTAGTCTCTAGTGTTTCCTTCCACGACAGTTCTTTGAGGGTCTTCCTGTGCCCCGTTGTCTGCCACCAGATTGAGCCAGGCAGGGTAGCGCCTAGGGTGCCGTGGGTTACAGACCCCTCAGCGCCCCAGGGTGGAGGGGCTTCCTGCACCCTGGCTACCTGCCCTCAGAGTTCCCCCGGCCACACCTGCGGGGCTGGAGAGGCGTCCTTTCGCTTATTATTATTATTATTATTATTTGTGGGGGGGTGGGACACATACATGGCAGGCCCTGTGGGGACCAGAAGACGGCTTTGTGAAGTTGGTCCTCACCTTCCACCTTTAGGCTCTGGAGCTTTTGTGGTAAGCTCTTTACCTGTCAAGCCATCTTGCCCACCCAGGCCAGGAGACCTTTTGCAAGCTCTGTGCAGTGAGTACGGTGGTGTCTCCCAGTCCCCACCTAACCACCCTAGAGCCTCAGGCCCCTCTGGCTTCTCTCAAGCCGGGCTGTGGAAGCCTGTGTCCATCCCTACTTCTGTTACAGGCCACTCCCAATCTGGCCCAGAGACAGAGAGGTCTGTCTCCCAGTGTGCTCCCGACAATCCCTGCCGTTGGCCGCTGTCGGTACAGGGTCTCAATTAGAACGCTTTGTTACCACAGGTCTGCCCCCAGGCCCCATGTTCGCTGCCCAGCAGAGGTCCATGGCAGTCTGGACGCTTCCTCCCCTGCTGCCCCCTCCCTTCCCAGAGCATAAGGCTGACTTGGCAAGGTTGGCGGGAAAGGGGACACAGGGTCCCAGCGTGTCAGGCCACAGGGATCCCGGGAGGGTCTGAAAGGGAGCCAGCATCCCCAGCAGGGGCCATTCTAGACCAGGGTAACTCAGGAATGCGCTCTCCTGGGTGGGCTTGGGGTGGAGGAAAGTCTCCATAGATGTCAAACGGGCAGTCACGTGGGTACCGAGCTTCCTGTCTCCTGGCAGAGTTCCCAGGGCCGGGAGAACATGGGGAGGGTCCACAGAGGAGCTCACCTTGTCTTGCTTCTTGGCACAACATCGGGAAGATGAGCTTGATTAGACTTTCTGGCTTTGTGTGGGACAGAAGAATCCAGTGTGTCACAGGTCAGAGGCCACAGTTACCCTTAGGACACGGGAGGGTTGGCTCAGGGTAGCAGCTGCCTCAGATCCAGGCTCACCCAGACACCACGCTTGGGGTTGGGGGCCTCTGTGACACGCTCCCCCACCCCCTCTAGCTTGTTTGGAGAGAGGGTCTCTTATAGCCTAGGTTGACCTTGAACTCACCATGTAGCAAAGGCTAAACTCACAGTCCTCCTGCCTCTTCCTCCTGACAGGGTTACAAACATGCACCACCATACCTGGCTGGGTTACTCCCCCACCCCCAAGCACATGCTCTGCCCCTCTGCCCTCTTCCATGCTCCACACTGTCATTGACAATGGAGCTGTGACCAGGGAGAACCGAGGAGCAGGGCCTCCCCGCTATAGACTAGCACCCCCTTCCCCCTCCCTCTCTCTGCCCCCCCCCCAGGGTTTCTGTGTGGCTTTGGAGCCTGTCCTGGAATTCACTCTGTAGACCAGGCTGGCCTCGAACTCAGAGCTCCACCTGCCTCTGCCTCCCGAGTGCTGGGATTAAAGGTGTGCGCCACCACCACCCAGACTGGCACTTACACACACATACACACACACACACACACACACACACACACACACACACACTGGGCTGATGAGCCAAACACAGAACCAGCGGAGGAAGAGAAAACAGCTGACCTGCTCAAGGGCAGTGGTACGTTTTGTTGCTGGTTGAGCGTAATCGTTTAAAACTGCCGCTCTGGCACTTACTGGGGCCGCACTGGCACTTACTGGGGCCGCACTGGCACTTACTGGGGCATCTGAGGAAATACTGGCTTGAACAGAAATCTATCCCCAGCCACAGCCACAGCCTTGTCCCAGCTGGGGATGTGAGACTTGAACTAAACCCTGGCCTGAAAGCGATGCCAAGGCTGGCGGTGTGCCGCCTCCCGGTAGGGTTCTGGGCATGGTGGGGGTCGGCCAGCAGCTGCACTGAGAGCCCTGGCCATGCGGAGGCAGCGCTGGGCTCTTGGAAGCTGTGGGATTATCACCAGGATGGGGATGAGCCCAGGTGGAACTAAATCCGCCCAGGGCAAGCGCACAGGAAGAGCCCGGAAAGCAACGGTCTCCTTTATTGAGCACCCAGAGGGCGCCAGAGGCAGGGGCTGAGGGCCGGTAGGCTGGGGGGGGGGCAGGAGGGCAGGGCTGGGGGCAGGGCTGGGGGGCAGGGCTGGGGGCCGGCAGGCTGGGGGGGGGGCAGGAGGGCAGGGCTGGGGGGGGCAGGGCTGGGGGCCGGCAGGCTGGGGGGGGCAGGAGGGCAGGGTGGGGGCCGGCAGGCTGGGGGGGGCAGGGCTGGGGGCCGGCAGGCTGGGGAGGGCAGGGCTGGGGGCCGGCAGGCTGGGGGGGCAGGAGGGCAGGGGTGGGGGCTGGGGGCCGGCTGGGGAGGGGGCAGGGCTGGGGGCCGGCAGGCTGGGGGGGCAGGGGTGGGGGCCGGCAGGCTGGGGGGGGCAGGAGGGCAGGGCTGGGGGCCGGCGCCCTCACTTCCAGGTCTTGAAGAATTGCTTGAAGATGGGGCTCTCTCGGCCCTGGGGCAGAATCTCCACCTGCAGCGGGAGAAAAGCTGGGCTCAGCGGACGGGACGGGACCAGTCAGCAAGGAGTCAGATAGGGCGTAACCAAGGGAACCGCAGCTGTGCCCTGCCAGCTGTGCCTCCTGGGAGGCCGTTCCTTGTGGTTAAGTATTCTTGCCATCGCCCTGCGGTTAGGTTGCCTCCCTACGACTGAGGATGAGGTGTGAGGGCATTGTCCGTGCTTGTCATTGGCCGAAAGGACGCAACGTCCGTCAGAAGACTGGTTTTTGATAGCTCTCGCACACACATACACCCTTTTCTAGGCGATTATGGGAAGGAGTACTCAAAGGGATCTCTGGTCTATCATGATTTAGGAGGGAAAAGGACCACTTTGCCCCATGAATATGCCACCCACCTCACAAATATTCATAAAACTGTCTTCAATATCTGCTAATCAGAACCCCGGGGGGCAGCTTCCCGCCACAGGGGCAATGCACCCCAATCTCTTTGAAGGGTTCCTTTGCATGAATTTGCTCAGAAGCTGCTCAGACCATCTGCCTCTTGACTAGACTTTTTTTCATTCAAGAAGATGAGAGCCCTGTAACCCAGGCGAGAGGCCACCAGCAGTCTAAGCCAGTCCTGAGAAGACAAAGATAGGATACAAGATCACAGGGCAGAGGCAGAGGAGACCATGGGCACTCAGTGTGGCAGATGACCAATTAGACATCAGCTGCGTCAGAACTTCTAACCAGGGCACCGTGACTCACACCCGTGACCTCAGCGCTTGAGAGGCTGAGGCAGGCAGGGTAATTGTGAGTTCAGGCCAGCTGGGGATACATAGTAAGTTCTAAGCTAATCTGAGGGGAAGCAGGGAAGACAGAGCAGAGGATGTACCTCGACTGGTAGAATACGTGCTAGCTACACACAAAGCCAGTGCTGTGTTCAATTCCCAGCACTACCCAAGCCAGGTGTGACCCACACCTACAATCCTAGAAGATCAGAAGTTCAAGGTCTCCTTGGCTACATAGAGAGTGTGAGGCCAGCCTGGGCTACACGAGACCCACATGGAGAGTGAGCAGCAAGATGAGAATAACTTGTGCATCCACTGTGCCGGGGAGAGACACAGCCACTCAGTGACATGCCCTACCCTTCAGGCTCACAGGCTTCCCTTTAAAAATAAGTTTTGGGGGTTTTGTTTGTTTTTTTGTTTTTGTTTTTAGAGAGCAGGGTTTTTCTGTGTAATAGTCCTGGCTGATCTGAAACTCACTTTGTAAACCAGGTTGGCCTCGAGCTCACAAAGATCCGCCTGCCTTCGCCTGCCTCCCAAGTGCTGGGATTAAAGGCAAGTTTGGGGTTGTTGTTTTAAATGCTGAAGGACTGAAAAGGCCTTTCCACCTAAGTGGTCTGAGGCAGGTGAGTCTGCTCCCAACCCCTGAGCTGTCCTGCTCTTGTCCCCATTGCGGACTGGGAAGCCACAGGAAGGCGCCAGGGGGTGCAGACCAGTTTTGTCCTCACCTGAGTGTTTGGGGAATATCTCATCCGAGAGATGAAGCCATCGGCCACTTGGAGGGCTGCCTGCCGCTCTTTCTCATTAGCTTTTCGCCCTGGAACAAAGGAACAGGGTCTCAAAGGGAGAGGCGGACGGGGTGCAGCCGACTGGAGAGGGCTTGCCTAGTGTGGAGCTCTGACTTCTGTCCCTAACACCACAGAAAAACACCTAAGCCCTGAAGGGGAAGTAGAGGCAGCAGGCTCAGAACTTCATCTCCATGTCTTCAGATCCGAGTTCAAAGTCAGCCTGGGCTGCAGGAGTCATTTGGAGGGGGTGGAAATTCTCTAGTCTCTACCCCATTTTCTAGAAGAAACTTAAGGGGTCTGCAGAATACCTGGCAGGTTTTTGACTTTTTGGGTTTTTTGTTGTTGTTGTTTTTGTTTGTTTGTTTGGTTTTTTTTGTTGTTGTTCTTTTGTTTTAAATAAAATGTACTCATAGTACCCAAGAATCCTGAGGGCGCCTTGGAGTGTGAAGTCATGCTCTTAAATTTTCCCCCAGAAAGCTGGCAGCTCTAAGCTAAGATTTAATTAATTAGTTAGTTAATTAATTAAAGCTTCTGCCTTGATCAGCAGAGTCTTTTGGCTCTGATCAAGCCGTCTTTTAGGAAGAATAGACTTCCTCCTAGACATGGAACTGTAAGCCCAGTGGGGTGGGGCAATGGCTCAGCGGTTAAGAGCACTTGCTTCTCTTGCAGAGGACCTGAGTTTGATTCCCGGCAACCCCTTGGCACTCACAACCATCTGTAATTCCAGTGCCAGGGGATCCAATGCTGCCTCCTGGCTTGGGAGGACACTGCACACATGTAATAAAAATATACACACATACACATAAAATAAAAAAGGAACTAGGGTCAGGGCCCCACCCTTGCTTGGAACCTTCTGTGTGTGCACACTGTTACCAAGAACACTGTTCTATTATCAAACATCGTGTGTGTGTGTGTGTGTGTGTGTGTGTGTGTGTGTGTGTGTGTGTGTGACTAAATAGGACATGGAATAAAATTCCTATAGAGCTGAACTGACTCCCACACGGCCAAAAGCCAGTATGCTTGCTGCTTAAGTGTTTATAAAACAAAACCAAAACAGAACCCACCATAGGCAATGTAGGCGATCACTTACATAGTCCTTTACATAGGCGATCCCTTGGACACAAACTGTGATCAAGCTGAAGGCATTTTGAGAAGGAAATGGCTAAGCATGGTGGTTGGCTCTCCGGCCCGTGCTAAACTCTTGTGAACTCTGAAGTATCTGTGTCCTTCCTCTGTAACTGACCCGAGGTTCTGGCATCCTTGGGCATTGGCCTTCCTGCCTCCTAAGCTTCCTGTCCCATGGATTCTTTCTCTATGATTCCTGCCCTGGGGACTACAGATACTCACATAGGCCTCTGGAATCCCAGCATCGGCTCCATGGTGTATGGCGCCTCTGCGGGAAGGGATGCAGCTCAGTTGGTAGAATATTTGCCCAGCATGCCCTAGGTTCCAACCCCAGCCCCAGAAACAATCAGGCATGGCAGGAGGAGCAGTTGGTCCTTGACTTTATAACAGGTCAGAGGCCAGCCTGGGCTACATGAGACCTTGTCTCAAAAAAAGAAAGGAAAATGTTAGAAAGATGGCTCAGTGGTTAAGAGCATTTGCTGTTTTTGCAAAGGACCAGAGTTCAGTTCCCAACACCCACATCAGAAGCTCATAACTGCTTTTAACTTCAGCCCCAAGGGCTCTGATGCTCTCTGGCCTTCTTGGGTACCCACAGGCATGCGACACAGAAAGAGAGAAGCTTTTAAAGATAAATTTTGTGGGCCCTGAGACCTATGGGCTCAGAACCTCCAGAGCTAGACCTCCGTTCCAGCAGACGGGGTCCAGAACCACTAGGCCAAACCATGCATCACATCATCAGGAAAGTTGAGGCCCGAGCTAAGCGCCACTCAGCACATTGGAGACCTTCCCTCCAGACCTCAGCTGGGAACACACCCTACCACCAGGTTGTCTACTGGAACGATGTATGTGTTGGTATGTTTGCACATGTGCGTGGCCGCATGTGCAGATCAGACGTTGATATCATGCATCTCCCTCCATCATTTCACTAGCCGCTCATCCCAGCTCGTTCTGTCCCGGCTGTCATAGTCTGCACCCGGTCTATTAGAGTCCTGTCTTAGGCACTGGGAGGGCCAGCTGGCTTCCAGACTTCCCCGCCACCACATCAGTGAGGGCACAGGACACGGGGTGGGGTTGGGGAGAGGCTGGGGAGACATGTCTCAGTTGGTCAGGCACATGCCTTGAACACCAGTACTTGGGGAGGGAGGGGAGGAGGGAGGGAGGGAGGGAAGGGACACACACACACACACACACACACACACAGAGAGAGAGAGAGAGAGAGAGAGAGAGAGAGAGAGAGAGAGGTACACAAAAGCAAGCAGGCTCCCAGGATCTGCTGTCCCTACATTTCCAGGGTCAAACGAGCCACGAGCTCCTACACACACAGCAGATGCCTTTCTCTTTGCAGCAGACACAGGCTCTTGGGACAGCAGCCTGCAAGCCTGAAAGTTTACCACACACTCCATAAAGCACCATGAATCCCATCTAAAATTTACCTCTATTACAGTTAACTCAGAACCTCGGGGTCAGGCACCTCAGATCCCTGAAGGACCGGACACTGCCAAGAAAGTTCTCAAAGCGTGGTCCCTGGACCCCAAGGCACACCCTGGGAACATGTTTAATACCCATATGCTCAGGCTCCAACCCAGACCTGGTGAATCTGAGTCTCTGGGATGCGGCCAGCAGAGGCCAGCTGAGGTTTTCAAAATGGCTGAGCCTGCTGGGTTCAGGGAAGCTACAGGGCCCTGGGGCTGAGGAGGCTGAGCCTGCTTCAAGGGCCCCACCCCCACCCCAGCAGCTGCAGGGCCCTCAGGCTCACACTGAGGAGACACACATACCCTTCCAGATGTAGATTTTGCCACAAGGCCCGTTGTCCAGAACAAAGCAGTCATCTGGAATCAGCAGTTCAGAGGCAAAGGGACTGGAGTCCGCCACCTTAGTCAGATTCATCTGTCCAGTGGCATCAGAGACCTGGGGAGGAAGGACAGTTACCACTGACACACTCACACACACTCACATAGACACACACACACAGACACATAGACACACACTCACATAGACACACTCACACACTCACACACACTGACACACACATAGACACACACTCACACACATAGACACACTCACACACACTCTATCACACACACACACAGACACACACACTCTATCACACACACTCACATAGATACACACTGACACACACACACACTGACACTCACACACACATGCACTCACACACACTCTCACACACACTATCACACACACTCTATCACACACACTCACATAGACACACTGACACACTCACACACACTGACACTCACACACACTCACACACTCTCACACACTGACACACACATGCACTCACACACACTCTCTCACACACACTCACATAGACACACTCACACACTCACACACACTCACACACACTGACACTCACACACACACACACACACTCTCACACACATAGACACACACTGACACACACACACACTGACACTCACACAATGCACTCACACACACTCTCTCACACACACACTCACATAGACACACTGACACACTCACACACACTCACACACACTGACACTCACACACACACTCACACACATAGACACACACTCTATCACACACACTCACATAGACACACTCACACACTCACACACATACTCACACACACTCACACACACATGCACTCACACACACTCTCTCTCACACACACACACACACACACACACACACACACACACACGCCCTCACCTACAATAATTGGGTTACCCAGGCCCTCCCCAGTTGCTTCTCCCCACAGTTCCAAGCAACAGGCAGGGAGAGGGCCCCCCCAAAGGCAAGGATCAGACAGCCCCTCTCTCTTCTGTGAACTGTAGTTCAGAGCCCATGATTCCCTTAGGGAAAGAGGTGACTTCCACATTCCAAGTCAGTGCACAGGGTTCAAATCAAGGCAGGCTCAGCATTAGCTTACAACCCTTCACCAAGGAGCCAAAGGGAATACCACTTATCACCTGGGAGGGGGGCGGGGCTGCCATCTGCCTGCTTCCCACCCATGTCTCCTCCAACCCCTACGGCCTCCCCACAGCCTCCTCCTGCCGATTCAGCCACCAGCAGACGCCTGTTAGTTCCCAGCAGGCCCGAAGTGCCCACCTTATACAGGGCCGCGGCTTGGGCGTTGGTCTGGTCAGCTGTGAGGTCTTCCTCAGGGTTGCCCTCCTTCAGAGCAGGCTTGGGGCCCAGAACCTGCAGAGGCAGACAAGATTACTGGGGCTTCTGCACCCAATTCTTCCAAGTCACCTCGTCCAGAGCCGCCTGTGTCCTGCACTAAGATAAGAGGACAAAGCGATGGATCCAGCCCACCCACCAGACAGCCTCTTGCCCCAAGGCTGTGCCCATGCAGGGAACCCCTTATCGCCATCACACAAAGGTAGCCCATGATGGATCACAGGGCTGAGTAGGGCCCCAAACAGCCCCTGTCAAACTCTATCAGCCACCGCCATAATCCCAGTTTATCACAGTCTGTCTCTCTTGGCGGTATGGGAACAGCAGCTCCCAGCTGCCCACCCCCATGTCCCAACCTGAATCATCTCGGCTGGCTCCTCTCCATCGGTGACAATTTCCACCTGGGCCTTGCCCTGCCGCTTGCTGTCCCTGATGGCCAGGGCCAGGTCCCTTGCCTTGTTACGTTCCAAGATGTTGGACTTGCCACCACACCAGGCGAAGATATTCTGCAGAGAAGCCAGACAGGCCCGTCACAGCCTTTGTCCTGCCCCCACTGAACAACTGCACCCTCAGGCAGGGCAAGCAAGAAGGCAGTGCCTGTGCCAGAGGTGTGGTGGCGCACACCTTTCACCCCAGCACTAGGAGGCAGAGGCAGGCGCATCTCTGTGAGTTCGAGGCCAGCCTGGTCTACAGAGCAAGTTCCAGGACAGCCTCCAAAGCCACAGAGAAACCTTGTCTCCAAACAAACAAAAGCAAACAAGCAAACAAACAAAAATGTTGTGTATAAATTATGTCCTGGGGCTGGAGAGATGACTCAGTGGTAGAGTATATACCCTGCTCCTACAGGAGACCTGCGTTCTGAGCACCCACAAAGGACAGTTCACAACCGCCTGTCACACCAGCACCCTCTATTGGCCTCTGCAATCACATGTACATGCCCCACACAGGGACACAGACATAATGTTTTTTTAAAATGTAATCAAATTACAAAATAATTCAAAATAACCTAGACATGTTTTTAAGAAAGTTTAAAGCCAGCCAGGCAGTGGTGGCGCATGCCTTTAATCCCAGCACTCTGGAGGCAGAGGCAGGAGGATCTCTGTGAGTTGGAGGCCACCCTGGTCTACACAGCTACACAGAGGAGACCTGTCTCGACAAATAAATAAATAAAGTTCAAAGCCTTCTGCTGAGCTCCATTTACATATCATGGGCTATATGCAGCCAACCAATGGCCACGGGTTGGACATACCTGGAACCGTACGGGAGGAACCACACAAGTTTGAGACAACTGTACAAATGAGTCTGGGACATGGGAGGATGGTGGTGTCTGCCTGCTTCTGGGAGATAATCCCGCTGGGTCCCTAAGGGCTGCCTGGCTGGGGTGTGTCCTCTCATTGATGGAAAAGTTCCCCAGCCTCCCAGCCTGTCTTAAAGCATCGGCACAGCGCCAGTGTCAGCCACCTACCCACCTGACCCAGGTCCAGGATGAAGCAGTCCCCGGTGTTGAAGCTGTCCCAGCTCAGCGTCCTCTCAGTGGCACGAATGTTCTTCTTCCCCTTAACCTGGTAGAGCTTCTTGGTGGCTGCTGGGGTGGCTCCCGGGCTTGTCTTGTGAAATGCGGATTCCACACCGCCTTCCTGCAGCCCAGAAAACTGGCCTGAGTGGCCTCACAGGCAACCCCGGAGCCGGCTAGGAGACGAAGGTGGAAACCAATCCCCAAGTGTGCCCAGGCCTTCCAAAGGATAAGGACAGGCAGAAACAGGAGCAGACTCTGAGAAGACCCATGGGAATGAGGGCCTGGAGGTGGGTCTTACCTGGTACTTGAGGCCACGGGGGAAGTAGCTCATGAAGAGGTCAGACTCATTCCCTTGAACCTCACGGTGCTGCACAGGCCGCTCCCCAAGCAGGGTGTTAAGGTGCACAGCCAGCACAGCACAGGCTCCCTGCTCATCCCGGGATGACTGCTGGCCTAGGGTGAGGTGACAGGCAAGGTCCCCGAAACCACTGCAATCTCCATCCCTGCCTTGGCCAAACCCACCCACACAGACACCATTCCAACCCCTTTACCTAGCCACAGGTGCAAATGGGAGACCTCTTCTGGGCCGTTGTGTAGCACGAGGTAGGAATCCCCAGAGAAGAAGATGCCATGGTTCTCGCGCGCTATGGGCACCGGCTTCAGCTTCTCCACACGCCATATGTGTAGGCCTGGGTCTTGGACTGAGGCTGGGAACGGAGAGCCGCTGTAGGAAGAGATGGTTGGTAAGGACTTGGTGGGGGAATGGGCTCAAGCAGAGAGACATGGGCAGGCCTGGAGAGAGCGTGGGGAGGACAGAGCGGCCCTTGGAAGTGAAGGCGGAAGAGGACAGAGACAATGGGACACACCGCCTACCTCTGAGGGATGGGTGTGTACATGCTGCTTCCAGACCTGGAAAGAGAAGCCACGATTACCACGAGGTTCATAGCAACCGGCTGCCTCGGTCTGCGGGAGCCTTCCAGGGGGCCAAGTTCCCTCCTCTTGCTTTTTTTGAGGTAGAATCTTAAAGTAGCCCGGTTGCCCCCACGGCCCATATGTCACGATCTGACACTCAATGGTTAAAGCCAGTTGGTGGCCGTGCCACAGGGGCAGCAAGTGGCAACTGAAGTTCCAGGTGTCCGCCCACCAGAAGGAAGTCCTCCGATGGGCCGATCTATTCTAGGCAAGGCCCTGGAATGTCTTTTGCTTCTGCTGCTGCTGCTTACATATTTTCTGCTGCCCTCTTTCTGTGGTATGAGCTCGGTGTGAGGGGAGATCTCCACTGCCTTTAACATGGTGTGTTTAATCTCTTGGAAACATCCCGTTCTACTGGGCATTTTTACCTGTGGATCGTCAAGAAGATGACCTCTCCCTAAGCTGTGCTAATTTGATAATTATAATGATAGTTTATATAGGGTTTTGATGAATAAAAATAAATACAAGGATATGTTTCACAGCCAGGGTCTGTGAGTTTGACCAAAGGAGTTGTGCAGATTGTAGCTCAGGTTAAGGATTAACAATGGAGTCCTAGATTCTTTTAACCTTGATGTCGGGAGATGTGTTCACAGGTGTCAGAGTGCATCACAGCTGAAACAAAGCTTTAATAACAACAAAGTAGACTAAGGTGTTTTTGTTAAATAACTTTGAGGTGAAGAACCCCAAGAAGACAATTTAATGTTTTAGAAAGGCACATGGTTAAATGTGGACTCTAAGGTCATGGTATAAGAACAAAACAATCCAAGTATTACTGGCTGACGTACTCTGCTTGCTAGGTTTGGTTGACCAAAGGTGATGGTTAATTCCTTATACACATTTCTGCCCTCAATCTTGTGATATAAAAAACTATTAATGAATGGATATGTACCCTAAAGATTTAAAATAGAGCTGATTCATTTTCATATATAAAAATTTAGGTTTGTGATTCCTTTAAGATTCTTTGTAAGATTACTTTTCAAGATAAGAAATAAAGTAATTGACCCTTTGTCTGTAAGATGCAGCCTGCCAGTAAAAGACCTGACAGGAACACCTTGCTTGCCCACATGGTTAATCTATAACAAGTTGCTTGGGTAGGAATGTATGTGGGTTCTCGGGATAATTTGGTTTTCACCAGGAACACATAAAATGTTCAGTCATGTGAGGGAGATAAAAACCATGCTTTTACCTATAATCATTCACTTGAGAAATGGAATGCAACTGCTTTGACTCTTGTACTGCCCAGAAGATTCTATTGGGTTATAAAAGCTGTGAAAAAACGTGGGAGGAGAGAATAAAGAAGGAGATCATGAAGAGAGTTTGTAAGTGCCTTTTTCCCTAACCCCCCTCAGACAGAAAAGTCTGGCCTCGATGGCTTCCTGTGCCGCTGGAGGCTGCTCCCCCGGACTATGCATGGCAAGTGTGAGGGGCAGAGTCTGAACCCTCGGGACCCACATACATGTTGGGTGGGCTGCTCACTTGTAGTCTAGCCTCTGAGGACAGAGACAGGGGATCCCCAAAGCAAACTGAAGAGCAAAACTAGCCACATCCGCAAACATGCATACACACACACTACAGAACCCACACACATGTCCACACGGCAAACATGCATACACACACATGCTAAGGGACCCACACACATGTCCACATGGCAAACATGCATACACACACATGCCATGGGACCCATACACATGTCCACATGGCAAACATGCATACACACACATACTAAGGGACTCACACACATGTTCACATGGCAAACATGCATACACACACATGCCATGGGACCCACACACATGTCCACACGGCAAACATGCATATACACACATACTAAGGGACTCACACACATGTTCACATGGCAAACATGCATATACACACACATGCCACGGGACCCACACACATGTCCACATGGCAAACATGCATACACACACATGCCACGGGACCCACACACATGTCCACACGGCAAACATGCACGCATACACACACATGCCATGGGACCCACACACATGTCCACACAGCAAACATGCATATACACACATACTAAGGGACTCACACACATGTTCACACGGCAAACATGCACGCATACACACACATGCCATGGGACCCACACACATGTCCACACGGCAAACATACACAAACACTGTCCCCTACACACACACACCACAAACAAGAGGAAAAGAAAGTATTCACAAGACAAAAATGTGAAGTTAAAAACACAAAGCTTAGTGACCTCAGATCACTGAATTAAAGTTCAGAGCACTAATTATAACACCACTGGGCCAAGGGGTATTTTGTTTATGTTGGGGGTGTAAGGTTGTTCCAGCATCTGAACTAAACCAATGTAACATGCCACATTAAAAATTGTTTGTGACATTAATACAGCCTTATGGATATTCATATCAACATAATATACCACCTTAACAAGTGTGACATTAATATCCTCATGGGATATTCGTATCAGTATATAATATATCATATTAGCAAATACATGTGGAATTAATATATCCTTGTGAATATTCATACCAGTGTGTATAAATAAAGTATGTAGCTCTCAGCTGGAGCTGTGGAGATGGCTCAGCAGTTACGCCATCTCGATATTCTTGCAGAGGATCTGAGTTCAGTTCTCAGCAGCAAACAACCACCTGTACTCCAGTTCTGGGGGTTAAACGTCCCCTTCTGGCCCCCTAGGGTTCTACATGCTCACAGTACACAGGCATACACACAGGCAAAACTACCTATACACACTAAAATAAACATAAGTAATCTTTTAAAGAGTAAGCCAAATATGCTAGCACAAACTTGCAATCCCACCACTTGGGAGACCAGGGAGTTTTAGGCCTGCCTCAGTTGCACAAGGAGACCCTGCCTCATAAACGAAAAGAAGAAGAAAGAAAAGGAAAAGGCCAGTTATGACAGCGACAGCACACACACTGTAATCCCAGCAATGGGAAGAGGGAGGCGGGAAGTCCAGATGCTCAGGGATGGTCAGGTTCCAGGCCAGCCTGGGTTACCTGAAACCCTGTCTTAAAACAAGAGAAAATGCCAGGACCAACAGTGAACATCTGCCAAACCGACAGTCCAGAAACAGAAACAGGAGAATCAGAAGTTAGGGCCATCCTTGGCTATCTATCTGGTGAATTCAAAGCCAACCTGAGCTATAAGACACCTGGTCAAAACGGAAAAGGAATAAAGGAAGGAAGAAAATCCTGGGGCCCGTGACACAGCTCAGTGGGTAAAGGGGCTTGCTGCACAAGTCTGATAGATGAACTGAGTTTAATCTAAGAACCCAAGTAAAGGTAGAGGGAGGAAACAACTCCCCGAGGCTGCCCTCTGACCTCCACACTTACACCATGCATATATGCACCCAGGTACATCCATACCAACAAAAGTTTTATTTAGTCTAATATCTAAAAACATCTTAACAATTAAACAACAGAGAAAGGCCTGGAGCTGTGGCTTAGTTGGCAGGATGCTTGCCTAGCAGTTAGCTAGTGCTCCCTTAGCACCGAGCCACGTCTGGGGCCTAAGGTTTTCTGTCTGTCTGCTTGTTTTAAGGCTTTTAAAGGAAGTGACCACATGTCATCAGCACTTAATCCGGTGCACGCTTCCACCTGGTGAGCTGCAGGAAGAGGTGCCCTATGGGACGTGGAGGGCAAGAGCAGAAAGCAGGCCTTGCTGACTGGAGTTGCGCGAGGCAGAGGAGAGGTGAGTGTCCGTGCAGGAAACAGAGCAGAAGGCAGATCCACACGTGAGATGCTGGCGAATCACCTCTTCCCTCTCCTTACCAACCTCCCAGACAGAGGAAGGCACTTCCCCACACAAATTCCATGGGCCGTGTGCACACCCGCAGCTATGGGCAGCCCAGCCTGTGAGTCAGCCCCAGACCCATGCTCAGGAATGAGACAGACTGAGCCCATAATGGTACTGTTCTTAGTTCCATGTTACCAAAAGGAGAAATTGGGCCACAACTCAGAATCAAATGCCCACACTCCAGGTCACTGCAGGGATCTGTTGGGGGGCGGAGAGGGGATGTTCAGCTGTCTGCTCCTAGATGTCCATTACAACTACCTCCTGAGGGCTGGAGAGACAGTCCATTGGCAGAGGTGCTTGCTGACAAGCCTTGAGTTCCATCCCCAGGGACCACAGGATGGAGGAGAGAACCAACTCCCTAGAGTTGTCCTCTGACCTCTGCACCAATGCCATGGCCCATGCACACATACATACACACACACAAATAAATAATAATTGTCAAAACAAAACAAAACAAAAAAACAAACCAGGCGCCTTACAGAAGTGCAAGGACTCTGGCTAAACTCCATCACTCCATCTGAACCTTCTAGACCTTTCTATGTACTTCCTTGCAAAATCCAGTTTCCGTCAAAGACCTCTGAAACATCAGTCAGGCTGAAAGTTCCCATAATCCATATCCCATCATCCTTTATCCAGATCTGGTTCCTCAACCTGCACCATCCCCCACATAATGTCCGATCTTCCCAGCTATCTTCAGCAAGAATCCTGTTAGGTTAGTTTGACAGGACCTCCCTCCCCGCTGGCGCTTCCTTTTAGTAATTTTCCATGCACTGACCCCTACCTAGCTCCCTGACTATGAGAGTCATGTTTTCTCACACTGAGTTGGGTGTTGGGATTAGTCTTCTTCCCACATTGAAGGCCCTGGTGCCATGTCCCTGTACCTCCAGCGAGGGTCCCGTTAACCCTCATGGTGACAAGTAACAGTGAATGCCTTTTGTTTTGCTTTCTTTCTTTTGGGACAGGGTCTCTTGTAGCCTGAACTGGTCTTGCATTAATTCAGTAGCCAAGGGTGACCTCAAACTTCTGATCTTCCTGCCTTCACCTCCCCAGTGCTGCATCACCAGGCCTGGTTTATGCAGAGCTAGGGATGGAAGGATGGGCCCAGGTCCATGTGCTTGCTCGCTGGAACTCCATCGGCCCCTACATCTCCAGCCCCTAAGTTTTTCTTCGACAGTATCAGTGCATAGGCCAGGAGACTGCTCCACAGGCTGGAAGTGTTTTAAGTAGATGTTCAAAGTACTCCTCCTCATAGTGCATGAGGTCTTTGAGAACAGCTTGATCTAACATCTGCTGCACGTGGGAGCGTCAAAAGAGGAAGACTTTTAAAACTCTGAGCAGCCAGGTGTAGTGACTCACGCTTTTAATCCCAGCACAGCACAGAGGCAGGGCAGGCAAATCTCTGCGAGTTCAAGGCCTGCCTGGTCTACAGAGTGAGTTCCAGAACAGCCAGCACTGTTACACAGAGAAGCCCTCTTGAAAAAATGAAAGCAATCTAACAAAGAAAAACCCACGAGCTCCTGACAAGGCTAGGCAGGCTACTACAAGCCTAGAATCCCAACTAGCTGATAAACTGAGGCAGATGTATTAGATGTTTAAAATCAGCCCGGGTTACAGAGTGTGTTCAAGGCCTGCCAGTCTCAGGACAGAAAGTAAAGAGAGGGCCGGGGACGTAACTCAGTGGTGCAGCGCTTGCCCAAGCATGCATGAAGGAAGCTCTAAGTTCAACCCCCACTCCCAAGGGTAGGGAAGTGGGATTCACGGGGGACACCGGGCTGGCTGAAGCCAGCCTGCAGGATGGAAGCTGGGTAGCATCGAGAAGAACCCCATGTTTCCACTGACGAGGCTCCTAGTCCTGGTCCTGCCTGGGGAAGGGACTTTCCCGGCATTCTGGCCTCGGCCCTTTGACTCCAGGGCTCCTCAGGCTTCCCTGGTACACGTGTCACAGCCCTCCATCCTCGAGGGCACACGCCAACCCTAGCTATCCGAGGGATAACCCAGTGGGAGTTTTCCCAGCCCTGTCGGGCTTAGAGCAGGCTGCAGGAGGGGAAGCCCAGAGATGAACAGTCTGCCATGGCCTAGCTAGATGGCTCAGGGAAGGGGGGAGCCATCACATCCAACGACACCACAGGCCAAGTCCCTCCACGTAAGACTGTCACATAATCACAGACCAGCGCTGGAAGGAGCCTCGGTGCTTAGCTAGTCCTCTTGAATGCTTCTGGTGGTGGGGAACTCACCCCTTCACAGCAGCTCTTTTTTTAAATCTTCCTCTAGGAACCAAACCCAAGGCCATGGGACACAGCTAGGAAACACTCCACCACTGACTGAGCTACGTCACAGCTGGTCACCGCTGTTGAAGACGCCTTTTCCCCACCGAGCCATAGCGTGACGAGTTTTAGGAACTGGCTCTCTCCCTGAGACAATAATGCACCTTTGGAGCGAGAAGTACAGTTTGCCTACGGACCCTTGCGTACACCTGATTGTGTCCAAAGGACGTGTTTGATTGCCTTGATTTGCTGAGCCTCAGGTATTGGACTGGATAAAAACCAGAGGTTTCCCTAGGACCTCACTATCAGGGGCAGTGCTGGAGTAGCCGCAAGGCAAAAGCCAGAGGGCAGAGGTACCCATCACAGTCCTGGGTGGTGAGGGAGGGTGTGTGCCTTAGAACAAATCTTTCAGGACACCACTGGGGGCTTAGACGTGGGGGTTGCTCCTACCTTCAACAACATGCTTGATGCTATCCAGTGACCCAGGACTGAGGAAAACCAGGGCCGTCTCTGCCCTCCTCGGACTCTGATTCTCCAGGTCCCTAACATGCCATTAGCTGTGATCTGAAATACCAGCAGTCCCTGGAGGGCGTGGACTGTCCGCACAAGAAAGCACAGGACCCCTAGACTGTCACCCATGCTCCTGAGAAGCAGGGACACCCAGGCTCCTCCCCCACGCACCAACGCAGATCCCACTCTCCACGCCCCCCACTCCACACCGCCCCTGATGACCCTCTGCTGGGAGCTGGCTGAACGCCCTTCACGCCCTTCACGCAGCTGCCTACCTTGCTTGCCCCAAGCCCCTCCAGTCCATTTGAGTAGACTGAGGACAGTGCTGTCTTGGGGTCAGGCATGGCCAGATCTGAATTCACCTCCTGACAGGCTAACGATGGCCTTTGGGGACCTCTCCGGAGGTCTGACACCCCCTCCTGGGTTCACCAGGATGATCCTAGACCCCCCCCAGCTCCTCCCCCACAGCTGGAACACATCCCACAGGCTCCACCCAGCCTCTGCAGCTACAAAACTGCAGTCTCCATAATAACCTCAGCCTGGCTTAGGCCTGTGGACATCATTCCTGAGTGTTCCTAGCAGCCATCCCTCCCTACCCACCCAAGAGGGCCCGGCTAGCCCACTTCTAGGCTTCCCGTCCCCCCTTTACCTCTCCACGGTCCCTTTCTCGTGTCAAACCCTTCTCAGCCTGCCCCACCCTAGCTTCTCACTTCCCTCTTCTCCACTGGGTTGTCCCACCCCCCTGCCCCACCCAAGGGGAGGCTCAGTGCTGAGAGGGCGAAAAAGCCAGCTCCAGGACTCAGCGCGGCTGATTGATAGGAAGCTGTTTCTCAGGCATGGTGGTAGAAAGCTGTTTCTCAGGCATGGCCACCGGGAGGCTAGGGGCCACCATGCTCTCGTCACAGCGGCCTCAGGCAAGGCAGGCTCTGAAGGATTGATTTCAGTCAGACCAACATGGACAGCCCCATTCCACCGCCAGCCAGGGCAGGCATGTCTGCACAGACCGGAGCTGCACACCCTGCGCTGTGGCTGGTTAGTCACATTTCCTGGATTGGGCCACTGGCTCTGCACTACTCCCCCCCCCCCCCACTAGTTTGTTTCATTACCCTGACCATGTGGTTTTTTGTTTGTTTGAATGAAGTTCCAAGAGAGTGTTTGGGGACCTGACACATTCTGGTGGGTTTGAGGATGCCTATGTTTCCATTTTGGTGTTCTATTTTATTTTATTTTTGAGACAAGCTCTCATGTAGCCAAGGCTATCCTCTAAATTATGATGCGCCTCAGGCTAGCCTTGAACCCCTGATTCTCCTGCCTCCTGAGTGCTTGGGTCACAGGTGTGTGACACCATGCCCATCTGTCTGTGTGTGTGTGTCCGTTTGTTACTGAGATGGTCTTACTTTGAGGCCCAGGCTGCTATGAAACTCAGTATGTGGCCCAGGTTGGCCTTGAACCTATGACAACCCTCCTGCCTCTGCACTAGGGTTCTATGTACCAAGGCTTCATGCCGGGTGCCTTGACACATTTAATGCAGTCTCTCCGTGACCCAAAGACTGCCCCCTCAGCTGGTCATGGTGGCTCGTGTCTTTAATGCCAGCATTCAGGAGGCAAAGGAGGGGGATCTCTGAGTTTGAGGCCAGCCAAAACTATAAATCAGGTTCAAGGACAGCCAGGACTACACAGAAAAACCCTACCTCAAAAAAACAAAACAAAACAAAATAAGTAAATAAATAATGAAAGCGTACACCACATCCTCCGTCTGCTGCTTGTTTACCAGATGTCTCCTGTCACATAGTCTGGGCCCTGGAGCTCTAGGAGACATCAACCGAAACTAGCATGGCCAGCCAGCAGGATGTGGTGGCACACATCTATAAAACCAGCACTTGGGAGGCAGAGACTAGAGAATGAGAAGTTCAGAGCCAGCCACCCTCAGCTACATAGACTTAAAAGTCAACCTGGGTACATAAGACCCTGGAACCCTCCAGATCCCCTAAAAACAGAAGCAAATAAGCATGATCAAGCCAGTCAGAATTATAGATCAAAACCCTGCTTCAAAGGACAAAGAAACAGACGGGGTGTAAGCTGAACCCAAGGCTGCTTTCACACATTCACAGGACTATAACATAGAATCGATCTGTTCTAACTTGCTGGCCCCATGAAGGACCCTGGGGCACAGCCCAAAGTCACATAGGAAGCAGGAAGCTGAGCCAAGGAGGCTCCAATTCCCTTTTGAATTTCTAGAGCAGTGGTTCTCAACCATCCTAATGCTTCAGCCCTTTAATGCAGTTCCACATACTGAGGTGCCCCCCATAAAATGATTTTGTTGCTACTTCATACCTGTAATTTTGTTATGAATCCTAATGTAATTTTTTTTTTTGAGATAAGTTTGTTAAAGGGTCATGACCCAGAGGTTGAGAACTGCTTGGCTTAGAGGAAGGAAGAGCAGAGTCTGTGTGAAGCCCTGGGAAGTAGGCACCCAGTGGGCAGCCACACTTGGGTGGTTCGGTGCCCAGCAACTCTGGCAGGCCTGTCTGGAAAGAGTGTTGGTCAACAGTCAGTTCCAGAGAGCACTTAGTGTTCAGAGTCAAAGCCCTGGCCCTGGTAATACAGCTGGACCAGAAGCAAGCCTTCCCCATTCTCTGACCATCAAACCAATCTAATGTATCTGGCTGCTAGGGGAGAGCCTGGAGAAAACGGTACTGAGTAGATGTGGACAGTGGTATTTGCTTGTTTGTTTGAGACAGAGCCTCAACATAGCCCACGCTAGCCTCAAACTTTCGATCTTCCCATTACCATCTCTCCATCTCCTGAATGCCAGGATTACAGGTGTCCACCACTAAGCTAAATACCACCAGGACAAGAATTAAATGTTTTCTCAAGACAGTAAACGGAGTCAGTAGGATGGCTCAGTGGGTAAAACCACTTGCCAAATGACAGCCTTAAAAACAGGGTGGTCTGGGGGGCTGGAGAGATGGCTCACAGCTTAAAAGCACTGGCTGCTCTTGCAGAGGTCCTGGGTTCAATTCCCAGCAACCACATGATGGCTCACAACCATCTGTAATGAGATCTGATGGCCTCTTCTGAAGGGTTACATACAGACAGAACAGTGTATAATAAATAAATAAACAGATCTTAAAAAAAAAAAAACAGGATGATCTGAGTTGAGATCCCAGCAAGGCCATGTCCTCTCAGGCAGGCCAGAGAACTTCCCATAAGGTTAAGAGCTGGCCTTTAGGACTGGAGATACAGCACGCATACGGCCCTGAGGTGATCACTGCAAAGCATACAGGCCAGAGGAATGGCTTGGCTGGTAAAGACACTCACCACCAAGCCTGAAAACCTCAGTCTGAGTCCCAGGACCTGCACGGTGGAAAGAGAGACCCAGCTGGAGAAGATGGAACTATCGGGCATGACGACAGTCCCAGCACTTGGAGGCAGAGGCAGGAAGACAGACCTTCAGAATTATCCTTGGCTACATTCAAGTGTGTCGGGGGAGTGGACTTCACTACTTACCAGCAGTGACTCCTCAGGTCAGATTCAGCTTCTTGGAGCCTCCTCGTGTCCAGTCTGTAAAGATAAAAGTGAAGGTTAAACAAGATGCTACAATTAATGATCAAATGATGAATGTTCAGTAAATCTGGACTCTTTAAAAACTGCATTTAAGTATTTATTCGTTTATTTTTTGGGGGGGTGGCTTGAGGGTGTAGGTCAGAGAACAAGTTAAGGGAGCTGGTTCTCTCCTGTCACGTGGGCCCTGGGAATCAGATTCGGGGCATCGGGCTTGGTGACAAGTGTCTTTGCCAGCTGACTCATGAACCCTCTTAGTCTGCCTTTCATGTAAGCAGTGGCTGTAAACATTGCTGTGCAGCCCCCCTCCCTCCCTAAGCTTAGTGGTAGGTGGCTGTGGAGAGAAAGGTAAACCAGGGACCTCCCCTCCCCCCACCCGCCCACCTGCCACTCTATCTAGTTAGTGCAGAACCCAGGTGGCTCTTAGACTGAGACCCTGTGTCTCACCAGAGGACAAAGATGAATGGAAATCACTGTTCACGACACTTGAGCTAAGAGGTTCCTTTTACCACAGGAAAGAATTTTTATTTTAAAAATAAATAGATAAAAGGTTGTCGGGACTGGAGCAGTGGTTGAGTGGTTAAGAGCGCTCACAGCCCTTCCAGAGGATTCCCAGCACCTATAACTACAGCCAAGCGCTCTGCTGCCCTTCTGACAGCCACACGCACACACCCACACAGCTTAGACAGAAAGACTTGCTGAGGGTGGCTAGTTAAGTATGGTGGTTCACACCTGCAATCCCAGCACTAGGAAGATTATAGGACAATCGGAGCCCTGACGTCACCTTTGGCTAGTTAGCGAGTTAAGGAAGTCTGGGCTACAGAAAGAAAATTAAAAAACAAAAACAAAAACTCCAAACCAACAAAGTTGTAAAAGAAAGACAAAGAATGTGTTCTTTTTAAGGCTCAGGTTGGTTTGCCCACCCTCGCCCCCACCCCGCATCTGTTTGCCCCCCCCCCCCAACTCCCTGCTTCAAGTTTGTCCCACATGAATGGGAGAGCGTTTTGCCTTCTCTAAATCTAGCAGAGCTTTCTCCCCTAAGGAAGGTGTGGATGGGACAGGTAGCCGGGCGTCCCGGGGTCCACAGAGCCCCTCTGAATCCCAAAGTAAGAGCCCCAGGCCGCAGAGAACAGCGCGACTTGCTTACCCGAGGGGTTTGGTGGCTCTGGACACCGGGGTTTTGCTGGCGACCACGCCTCCGCCCCCCTGGGAGAAGTGAGTCACCGAGCGCCTCCCCTCCCTCCCGGCTTCTGCATCTCTAGAGACTTAGCGCTGGGGGCCTGGGAGGAGGACCTCAGGTCCAGCAGAGCTGAAAACTGGGCACGAGAAGGGCAATTTCACTTCCCTGGTCTCCATCTGGGTTTCCACGGTTCCCTGGAGCGGACACTTTAGCACTCGGTGCCTTCAATGTGATCTCGGGCCAGGTCTGCAGCTCAGTCCTAGCATGCAGGAAGTCCTGGGTTTGGGTTTGATCCCCAGTAACACAAATACTGGGCATGGTAGTACATGCTTGTAATCCCAGCACTTGGTGGATCATACACGAGCAAGGAAATAAACAAATGTAATTTTTAACAAAAATGGACTTCCATCTTCACACCCTTCAACATTATCCCTACTTAGATGAATTCTCAGGGAGGATCAGAAGGGAAGCAGGATTGTAATCCAGGCTGGCCTGACCTGCATCAACGCTGCCTTCTACCCTTCTCTAAATCAGGACCAAACAGACAAGCCAGTGTCTGCCATCAGTGTCTGCCTTGGCTCCAAAACACAGCACACAAACCCACCCACGGACTCAGTCCAACAAAGCAGTGTTGTTTTTTGAGAAGCAACTTTGCAAAGGCCAAGCAGAATTCCATTCTCTGAGATCTGATGACCGGGCTTGAAAGAATTTACAGCCTGACTTTGTTCCTGGTCAGCTGGGCAACCCAAGCAATCCCATCCCACCAAGGAGGCTAGAAGGACATTCCCTGGGCTGGTGAGATGTTTCTGCACCATGGTTTTTTTGTTTGTTTCTTTTGTTTTTTGTTTTGTTTTGTTTTGGCAGGAGGACAAGGTCTCACTGTGTCTTTCTGGAACATTCTATGTAAGCCAGCTGTGAATGTACAGAGGTTTGCCTGCCTCTGTCCC